TTATTTAAATTTTTGTTTTATCTCTACCTATCCTCCACTTATTTTTTTTTTAAAGCTAGTTAGAAAAGCTTTTTTTTTTAATCCTCACCCAAGGATATGTTTTTTCATTGATTCTAGAGAGAGCAGGAGGGAGAGGGAGAGAAACACCCATGTGAGAGAAAAACATCATCAGTTGCCTCCCCTACGTACCCCAACACGGGGACTAAACCCACAACCTGGGTCTGTGCTCTGACTGGGGAGTGAAGCCATAGCCTTTCTGGTGCACGGGATGGGGCTCAGAGCACACCAGCCAGGATGGCAAGTTTATTCTTGATCTTCTTAATGATATCCCTCTGCATAAAATAATTCCCCCTTTAATATTTATTTATGAACTTATTTAATATGACAAAAAAGGGAGCAATACAGAGGAAACAGTCAGAACCACTCCCTGCACTCTAGTCATCAGCCCCTGTGAGAAGGGTCATATGGGGGGAGGGCTTCCGGGACAGGGGGAGGGCTTCCGGGAGAGGGGGCAGGGCATGGATCCGGAGAAGGAAGCTCAGCTCTGCTCACGCCTCGCAAGGCCAGCAGCGATGTTGTAGAACGAAGAGGCGCACATGGTGGCCCCACTATTGTAAAGGCAAAGACCACATTTCTCCTACCCAGATCCTGCCTAACTTCCCGGATCTTGCCAAGCCCTTTAAGAACAGTGAGTGCACTTTCTAAAAAGTAAACACTCGTTTCTCCTCTCACCATTCTCTCCTATTTTATACCATCTTTTTCGTGTTAAAGTAACACGGTCAATACTTTGCAGAGTTCCGGGGGAAGTCCGTCTAATCAGTGCTGAAGAAAACATGTCTAGTTGCATTAAGGACTCACTGGTCCCACCACCCTCACCACCATCACTGTCACCACCACACACTACCCACGTGACCCGTTTTCTTTTTTAGCTATAAAACATCACCATCAAAGCAAGTGTTTAAGAAAAAAAAAATCTCTGACATTTATCCTCATCTTATGGACCATCTGAGGAGAAAATAAGTTCTCAGCAATGGGAAAATGCCAGTCTTTACACAGAATTTAACAAATATTGGGGCAGATGAAATTGCTACCTACGATAACGATAAAAGAGGATGGAACTTTTCAAATAGTAATTGATAATCAAGCGACAATCAAGACAACAATCAAAGGGATAATCTAACGCAAATAAGAATATCTCATTCTAAGCTGACTGCCGGGAGTAAAAAGGAATCTGAAAGAGAGACCATGAAACAGTGGCTCAGGAGGTCCATGTGATGTTGGCCAATTAAAATGAATGTTCCTGGCGTTTGGTTTATCGCTTTCAACTAAGAGCAAACTCGTGTGGTCTGCCATGGGAAGCTGGCATCAGCAAAAAAGTGAGCCCCATTACTTCAACACCCTAATTACAGCAGCAGGAGATGCGGAGTGGCGTGGTGGGCCGCACTGCCCACGGCAGCCTTGGTGGCAGGAAGACCCTGCCTCTGAGGTCAAAATGTGGGCGGCCGGGCCCTGCAATAAATGAACCCCCATGTCAACAGGTGAGGGGTGGGCTTTCTGGTGAGCGAGGGAGACTGGAATTATGTATGGAATATATACATACTCGAAGATCAGATGCTCAGGCACGAGTACCCCCTATTAGAGCAATTGCATTAATTGGAAAACAAAAGAGAATTAAAATGCCCCATTTTCTAAATTATGCTTGCCTTCTGTAGTAAAAGTCAGCACAACGGTTCCATTTAATTAAATCATCAGATTGGTTCTTTAGGGGTTTTCCATTGTGCACTGGTTAGATTTAAAGAGATTTTTCCAAAACTCTACTTGGAAGTTACTGTAATCTTTCCGCATGACAGGGTCCGTCCACCCAGCGGGCCTGCACCACCGCCCTGCTTCATTAGGACACAGCAGTGGCAACACATGCACACGGGAAGCCACACATGAAACAGAAACAGCGGGGATCACAGCTGCCCTTACTGACCGTGTCCTCTGTGCCCGGCAGTGCTGAGAACTGCACGTGGACGATGTTTATGACCCTCCCGGTGCAGCAGGAAGTGCTACTTGGATCAAGAACAACCTGAAAACATGGAGCATCTCGGACAACAATTTCCATTGGAAATGAAGACCACCAGGTGCTGTGGGTCTGAGAAGGCAGGTGTCCAAGGAACAATGCCAGCCCATCACAGGAGGGAAAGATGTTTCTCAGAGAAGTAACAGCAGTAGACATGACCTACAAAGTGGACTCTCTTGTTTCCGGTCAATGTTCTCTAGTGAGTTGGGCAGCGTGGCACTGTGCCATGAACAAGGTGAAGTGGTATTTCTAGCATCTTTGAAGAGATAAGGAAAAACAGAGATTGACAAAATGAGTAGCTCTAAGGTCAGACTGTCTTACAAGTCACCAAAAGGGCCCACCTGAGGTTTTGGGGGTTTTATTATTATTGATTTTGTTTTTTTAAAGAGAGAGAGACAGAAGAAGGGAGAGGGAGAGGGAGAGAGAAACACTGATGTGAGAGCAAAACATCAATTGGCTGCCATAACTCTATAGTTGACTTTTCAATACGACACTTAGGGTTAATAGCACTGAAATTTCTAATTAGCTTCACTAATAAAAAAATAATAATGATGATGGCATTAGTAGGTGGTAGCATTCATAGAAAGAGTATTATGAGCTAAAAACTAGCTTAAATGCTGTAAATATATTTTATTTTCGCAGGAACGCTGGAGGTAGGTGTTTTTTTTTACCCCATTTTATGATGAGGAAGCTGGAGTTCGGAGAGTTCAGACAATTTGTCTGGGGCCACGGAGCTTGTTAAGTAGCAGAACTGGGATTCTAAAACTTGTCTGTCTGCCTTTAAATCCAATGCCCTTATACGTATGTGCTCCTGCCTTCTGTGAGCAAGATTGCATTGGAAAACTGAACAAAGTCTCTAGAGCAAAGGTGGCAGACCATAAACAAAACATCAGGTAGCAATAACTACTCTAAGCAAAAATAGAGCAATAGATGAGGAGAAGTGAGGGGAGGGGACGTTATTTTAGAAACAGTGACTCAAGGAAGCCTCCCTGAGGAGGAAGCATTTGAGCAGAGGCCTGAGGGAGTGAGGACCAAGCCACGAAGAAGAGCATCGGACACAGGAAACAGCCAGCAGAAGGGCCGGAGGCAGGAAGACTCAGTGTATTTGAAACATCAAGGAGGATACCACGTTAGAGCTCTGCCATCCAACAGGGCAACTACTAGCCACACTGTCTGTTCACATTTAGAGTTAAATTAACTGAAACTAAAAAAGAAAAAGGTCAGTTCCTCAGTCACAGGAGCCACTTCTCAGGTGCTTGGTGACCACACTGTGCAGTACCATCCTGGACAGCACAGACAGGGCTCACTGCCCTCCTCACAGGAAGTGGTGGTGGGCAGCCTACACTAGACGGTACAGAGGTGGCCTTGGCCAGAGCAGAGGACCTTGGCATCTACGGTCAGGGTGATGAACGTCCTCACAATGAGCTGCAAACATAATCAGCCCAAAATATAGTGGGACGTGAAACTGCCACTATTACTAGACAGAAGAGAAATATTCATCTATCCACATGTGAAGTAAGAAAAACTCAGTTTGTAAGATATTACTGGACTTTCAGGGCCTTCCACAAATAGCTACGCTATCATAAACACAACCAGGAAGATGCATGGACATTCTCTCCTCAAGAGAATGGTCAATTTACACTTAGCTGACGGCTACCCTCTTTATCAGGCATGCTTAGCATGTCTAAAAGAAATTAGGTTTAAAACAATCAACCTTGGGTCAAAAGAGTAAAAAAGGATCCATTCATCAAATATTTATGGAATGCCTATAATAATTAAACCTATTAACTTACAAAGCTTTCTAATAAGGAGTCCTATCTTCAACAATTAGATGTTGATGAATAGGTTATGGGTAGGACATAAACAAATAGAAAGTTAAAAGTCTAAGTTCCT